TAAGTGTGGTGAAGCCAAATAAATGATAGATCGGCCTGCCATACAATGAGCTTCTGACCCGCTGCTGCTGCACTCATCTTCATCATCATCTTCATCAGAGCTGAAGTCGACATTAGTAAGATGGATTTATGACTGAACGAACGTCCACATATTTTCATCATCTCTGTGGGTAACAACACATAAAAACATTTTTTTCCTCCAAAAACACGGGTGTGAAAAAAGCTGTTGTTAAACCTCTCTGTGCGACGTGCAGCAGGAAGGAGGGACTTGTGATCCTGCGACACGACGCTAAGATGTAACTTTTCTACAGCGGGAGGGAGGGAGGGGGACATTTTGACGATTTATTCTCTCTTTACGTGTTTTAAAACGCCATATTTCTTCATTTATTTTCAGATGATTTTGAATAAATGGCCCTATAAGAAAAAGAAATTGTTTACTTGCCCGGTCAGGCAGGCATTGGGACACACCCACCTGCCCGACAATGGGTTTTACCTGCCCCGGGCAGTCGGCCAATAGGATTTGTCGAACCCTGCATTCACACAGCACKCTGTTAGATCTCACTACAAAGCTACAATCATGTATGGAGACCAATCAGTGCCAATCACATCCATACACTGATGGAACACATCAGAGGCAGAGGGGGTTCAGTGTCTTGCCCAAGGACACAACAACTGAGACATATAGAACGGGGGGATTGAACCGGCAACCTACCGGTTCCAGGACGAGAAACACAGTAAGTTGTTCAGTATTAATACAAAAAAATAAACAAATAAATAAACAAATGCACATTCCTGTTCTTTTTTCTCTCTAATTGAAAACTTACTCCAGGTGTTCACAGTAGTCCCAGTCGTGCTTCTCGTGTTTGCAGGCCCAGAGGTTGGGAAAATTGTTCCTCTTACACTTCATAAACTTCAGCAGATAATGAGCGCAGTAGTCTCTCTGGTCCATGGTCAGCTGGGCCAACTGCATCTGCTCCTGGGTCGCTACCATTTCTGCGTTACAAGAAACAAAGTTCAGTCATCAAACAAGGAAACTCGAAAATTACTCATTTAACCTAATTAAAGAAAAACATTAAATACATACACTAAGGAAAGAATGAACACCAACATTTGTACCTGTATGAAAAGTAACTTTCATTATTCTGTCTGTTTTTTTCAACATATAGGGATAAAGGCAGAAAACATGTAAAATTACAAGAAAAACATTTTTATTCCAATACATGTCTAAACTCAATGAAATTTTAAAAACCTGCAGTTTGATAAGTGTATTTTAACTTGAACAATACATGTGCAACATAATTAAAATAAAATTTAAATGCATATTTCAACGGTCCTGCCAACCAGAAAGATTAGGCATAACTGCTTTTTACCAGGGCTGTGTGTTGGCAAGAATTTGGCGATACGATACATATCATGACAGAGGGGTCACGATACGCTATATCCTGATATATTTCAATACTGTAAACAAGGCGATATATTGCGACATTTTTGGTCCAAAAATTCTATTAAAAACCTCTTACTGGGAAAAAAACAAAACGAAAAACCAAAATTCATTGTCTCAGAAAATTCTAATATTAGACATACTTTTGATACATTTAGCTGTGTTCTGCTTTGTATGTGTTTTATTTTATTTGTTTCATATTTCTTATTTCATCCATGT